TTTAGATTTGCCTCTTATTAGATGTTCTCTACCCATTCTCTGAGTTTATTGACATCTGCCTTCTTGAAATCCAGTGCTGTCGGTCACTTGGATCAGATGGCAGATGACACTATGTTCGCTGAAGTACTGATTTCTTGTAAAATGTCCTATCTGGCAGCAGACTTTGAGTTGTATGTTACACTGCCCTCTACCTATGTGCAAAGCTGCAGTGCAGCTGAGGAAGGTTGTGACAATTACAGTGTGTATTAGGCCTTAAGATTTAGGCTGCTCTTCAGAATTTATCAGATCGGGAAGAAAAATGTAAGTTCAGAGAAACTTTCTAGAAGATATTAATAACTTCCCTTGTAATGCATCTCAGTCAATGTAGACAGAGGATCTATGCTAACAAAGTGTTTAGAACACAAATTATTTGTGATAATAAAGACTCCAGACTAAGGTATGCAAGGATGCTTGCCCTACCTAGTTTAATAAAAGTTTTGACCATTATGCAGGGATTTCATGTTGCAATGGACAGACAGTGAAACTTAAATGTAATGGGGGAGAGGAGGAAAAAAGGCAATAAACTTTACCTTAAGCAGAAATGGCTGATCAGACCATACTGGACCTCTGCCTTGTAAGAACAGTGACAGAAGCTCTTATATCTAATGCAAAAGTAGTTAAGACTTCAGGTCCTACTAAAACCTTCCAATATTCTTTAACACTGGTTGAGACGATTGTAGATACATCATGGCCCCTCTCACAGGTCAACTAGAGATGGTCAAGGAGTCAGACCAACCTTGATACTTATATTAGAAAGGCTTCCATTTACACAATTATTTTTATTGACAAACTTACAATGAGAGTTCCTTTACTATCACTTCAAGTCAACTTGGATTCCGTAAATAATGAAAATTAATTACCAGTAACCAGTACCATCTGTAGTCAGCTTTTATGACAGCTATAAACTAATAAAAATGCAGGCATCAGCTTTTATGACAGCTATAAACTAATAAAAATGCAGGCATCATGCTGTCAATGTGGTGGTATAAGAGGAGCAAGCCGTTCCTGTAGTCAGAGTACTGGTGGTGGTTTAGGGTAATGCAGGTTGTTGAATCACTGTTCCATACTGCACAGAACTGATGTGCAGTGTCCATACACTATCTAGTGGCTCTGTCAATTATGATATTATCCCTTTCACCTGTGAATCACAGGATTAAAAAAACCTTTAGACAAAACAGGAATTTGTGAGTCTGTAACCATTCCCTCATGAATCTAAAACATTTTGATGTCATAAGTGATTAATGAAGAAACACAAAGAAGTCATAAAGCCTGTGTGAATGTGCAGGCCAAACTCTTGATGGGGGCTTCTTGACAGTCAGTCATGTCATTAACAGAAGACTGACAGGCACTGGTCAAGCTGTTAAGATCTTTCTCTTTTCTGTACAGACTTTGTTCTAGATTTATTGCTAAAAAACCCACTCAGTTTAGGAGTGCTTGAAGAACAAGCTAAGGTATCTCCTTTAGTTGCTGTATTCTGCAGTATTTTGTGGTAAAAGCAGATAATCCAAATATTTTAAACAGAGTGCATAGTAGACAGTAATGCAAGGCTAGATGTGTTCTCTCAAATCAATGGGGAATGCTAATCTTCATCCCTTGAGATCATGGACTAGGAAGATGTAAAGATCGCAAGTATGATAGTTTGGCATTTAGAAAAAAAGTGAGGAACACCCATGGAAGTGAGGGCTCTGAGAGAGGCTGCTGGGAGTTTCTTCTTTGTCTGAGACCTGGCCAATAGCTGGCCAGTTCTGAGAACTGACAGTATTGTTGACCATTGAAAAGTGAGATCAACCTTGTGAATACCACCTTTTAACCCTAAGCCCAGGAGCTTCAGGCTCTCTTTGTTTCCGGCTTTGAAAGGTAACAGAACTCTGGCTAGCCCCCATTCCCCCCTCCCCCTGCCCAGGCCCGTGTGGCCCGGCGGGGGCTGGGCTCAGCCTCCCACGACTCCCGGGCAGAGGACGGAGCCTGCAGGATTTCTCCCGGCTCCAGGCCAGGGCCAGGCTCTGCTGCGGCCCTCCCGGGAAGCCTTCCGGGTCCTATTCCAGCGGGGTGGTTGAAGCCTTTCCCAGGGGGGCCTGACGCTAGGCTGGGCTGGGCCATGGCTGCTGACATCTTGCCAATATGCCCGCCCCATGGCCTGCACAGACGGCTCCAAGCCGAAAAGCAGCCGAACACCGTCCACTGCCTTCCTGCCCTGCTGAGCTGAAATCCGACACCATGAATATCCGCCACGGCTTGAGCCAGATTTTAACCCTTTTACTACCCAGCTAAGACCTGCAGATTTAATTCCTTTCCAGAGAGCAGAAAGCGAGAATGATCAACATGTAAAGAGGCAATATAAACCATCGAAGCCAATAAAAGAAGGAGTCTAGCCTCAGATGGAAAGAAAATGAAGAGATGCTTTAATAAGCTGAAATACTGTTTTGGTAATGCCATGGAGATGGACAGTAATGTTCTGGAAAACTCCTTTAATTCATGAAAGAGTATTTTGGGGTGAATGAAGTATTTCAAAGTGTAGATCTGAGCAAAGGTATCCATTGATGAAGCTGAGTAGATGGTAGAGTAGTTGTGATCCCATGAAATGCTGGAACAGAGAGAGAGAAGTGAGGGTTGATGAAGACCCTTGGCCCCCAGGGAGAAAAGGAGAAAACCTCTGTTCCCAGAGATGATCACAGAGACAGTTGAAGAGAACCTTTGTCTTTAAATAACTCATCTTTAAAATAATACCCCTTGAGTTAATGGCCCATGAACACACTTCTGGGTGGTGTGAAATGGGAGGAGGGCATGATGGCGGAGTTTTTTTCCAGGTGGCTGCCATCACAGGAATGAAAAGCCATGAGAAAACTGTTTTCTTGTGGAGAACTCTCCATGGAATGACAAGAGAGAACTCCTTTCTCTCCAAAGACTAATGAAAAGACTAATGTATAGTTGGGACTGTTTTAACCACCAAGTTTTGTCTCTGTGTTGTCAGTTGGACAAGGGAAAGGTTGGGTGGTGGGGAGGAAGGGTTTCTGGAGGTTTTATTCTGGTTTCTTATTATTGTAGTTCTGTTAATAAACTTTCTTTATTCCTTTTAAGTTTTGAGCCTGTTTTGCCCTTCTCCCAATTCATACCTCACAGCAAATTATGAGTAAGTTTTCTGGTGATTTTTAGCTAATGCTTTAAACCACCACAAGTAACAGCATTCTTTTTATCTTCTGTTTCTGCCAGGGATATGATTGATCTTCAGTAAACCAAACAGCCCTTCTGTTTTGTTATTTATCTGTGAAATGGAGATTGTACTATTCTATGGAATCTAGAACTGCTTTATAGATAAGTACTGCTGTTGTAAAAGGCCGTATTTTCTATATTTTATATATATGAAAAAGAACATACTTTATTTATATGTGGCCTATGCCAGTACATTTAGGGTTATCTGAGCTACAAGCACACAAATTAGTTATATTTGAAAAAAATTAAGTCTGATTCACCATCACTTTCAGCAATTTTCCACTATTCTACTTAATAACTGAGAAAGCTCCCTAGACAGCTCTTAAAACACTTATCTTTAATTGTACTTAATTATATATATGTATTTATTTTAGAAGGCTGAGTAAAGACGTGATGATGCAGACTTCAGCTTTGGTAACTTTTCTTGAACTGTTCTTTCTAAGAAAGCAGAAATTTTATTTTCTTCTTCAAAGCTGCCAATTTTGTTTTCCCTTTTCAGTAAATATTTTTTCTAGTTATACTTCTGAACCCTTAAAACAAATTTAAAATATCTGGCAAATAATGTTCATATTACCAGCATTTATCATGATTTCCAACATGAAGCTTCTATAGTGCATCTCTTTTGCCACATACAGTAGCAGTTAATAAATATGCACGCCAATACAACAGAAATATATAAATGGACTTACAGGTGGTTGCATGTGATGAGAAAACCGTGTGTAGGAGTTATGCTCTTTCATCTCAGATAAACCCAAAACTCAGAGCCTTAAGTATTGTGCTAATTTTGGCTGGCAAGGAGTTAATTTTCTTCACAGTGGCTACTATGGAGCTGTGTTTTGGATTTGTGCTGAAAATAGTTGGTAACACAGGGATGTTTCATTATTGCTGAGCAGAGCTTACACATAGAATCTTTTTTTCTGCCTCTCATCCCACCACACCAGGGAGAGGTGCACAAGGAGTTGAGAGAGGACAGAGCCAGGATAGCTGACCCCAAATGACCAAAGGGATATTCCTGAGAATATGGTGTCATGCTCAGCATATAAAGGCAAGGCAGATGAAGGGAGAGAGGGGGCATCTATCTGGAGTGATGGCATGTCTTCTCAAGCAATCATTATGGGTGATGGAGCCTTGCTCTCCTGACACGCACCTGCCCATGGGCAGGGGTGAAGGAATTACCTATTTTGTTTTGCTTGCACTCAGGACTTTTGCTTTAGCTATTAAACTATCTTCATTTCAACTCCCAAGTTTTCTCACTTTTGCCCTTCTAATTCTCTCTGCCATCTGACTGGGGGGGGTGAGTGGCTCTGTAGTCCCTTGCTGCCAGCTGGGGTTAAACCACAGAAGCAGTAAGCATGTAAGAGTTGACAGGGCTACAGGCAACCTGCTTTAAGTGCTCAAAGCTGAGCAGCTTAACCTCTTCTGCCCTCTTAGCTACTAGCATTTCCTACACTTTTTTCCAATTCAACTCCAGATCATTCAGTCATTTTTAATCTCAGAAGAGATTAAAAAACAAACAAAAAAACCCAAACCTGTAACTGAAAGTCTTTTTCCTTTTAAGATGACTGTAAGAGAGACGGGCTTAAAAACACATCAGTACATGAAGTACATTTCTTACTAGCACTTCCAGCCTTGCACATGCTATTAGCATGCAAAAGCCCCAGCTTAATTTTATTGTACAACCAGTGCAAACCCGGCCACAAAGGTTTCAAAATAAGTAATTAGCACAAGAAAAAAAAATCCAACACTCAGGCTTCATTGCACAAACATTTAAAGAGAAGAAACAATTTCTTTTACAAATGTGTTTCTCTTGTATAAGAATAATTTTGTATAGAAATAGCTCTTTATACATTTTACAGAAGTAGGCTAACATTTAGATTCTTTATTAATGAATAATCATTGAATGCCATTTAAGATTTCAGTTACATTTCAGTCATCAAATATCAATAACACAGCAATACATCACTGCTCTAATAGCCTTAAACTGCTTGACTTATTGAATATTGAGTCAAGACAGTGAAAACATTTCTAGAGCCATTATAATTTGAAAACACTCAAGTAGCTTGAAACTGTTAAATTATGAAATACTTCCTGAAAGTAATACCATAATTTAAGTGTCAAGGAATATGAACTTAAACCTTAATAAGGCAGCAATACTTGCTCACTCCTCCTGGTTAATACTGTAAAACCCAAATAGAACAAAAGCTTTAATATTAAACTGGTTTACTGTTAATGTGACCCTCAAAACACTCCTAAAAGATAGGATGCTATCCAGAAGGACCTGGACAAGCTCAAGAAGTGGGCCCTACAGGAATTCTTATGAGGTTTAACAAGATGAAGTGCAAACTGCTGCATCTGGATGGAGCAACCCTGGTGTCAACACAGGCTGGAGGATGAAGGGATCAAGAGCAGCAGTAAGGAGGACTTGCAGGTGCTGGTGCACAAAAGGCTGGACATGAGCCAGCCATGTGCACTCACAGCTCAGAAAGCCAAACTTGTCCTGGGCTGCATCCAAAGCAGCGTCGGCAGCAGGGCCCTGGAGGGGATTGTGCCCCTCTGCTCTGCTGAAACCCCACCTGTAACCCTGCATCCAGCACTGGGGACCCAGCACAGGACGGACACAGACCAGCTGGAGGGAGTCCAGAGCAGGCCACCAAGATGATTAAAGGGATGGAGCACCTCTCCTGTGAGGAAAGACTGAGAGAATTGGGATTACTCAGCCTGGAAAATAGAAGGCTTTGGGATGACTTAATTGCAGCCATCCAGTATCTGAAGGGAGCCTACAAAAAAGATGGAATGGAACTCTTTGTAAGAGTATGTAGTGACAGAGGCTAGGTTTAGATTAGATGTTGGGAAGAAATTCTTTACTGTGTATGTGGGAATGCAGTAGAACAGGCTGCCCAGAGAAGTTGTAGATGCCCTAACCCTGGAGAGGGAGCACCTGAGCAACCTGGACTAGTAAAAACGTGTCCCTGACCATGGCAAGGATGTTGGAACTGAATGATCTGTAAGGACCCTTCCAACTGAGGCCATTCTATAATTCAAAATGAGATAGCAGAAGCTACTCTAGCAAATGCTATACAGCATTAACACAACATATAAATGTAATAAAAATACTTCCATTTTCTTAAGAAAACATGAAAGGTAGATTTAAAAAAACCCAGTAAATGAAGATATAAAAAGTAAATTTGTAGAGGACAAAAAATTGAAAAACATATGTATATATATATTTATATGTAAGGGTATGCTAGGAAGCACATGTATTTTAAAATACTCAATTTATTCAAAGACTTTGAGTCCCCATGGTGTCATGTGGAACTCAAACATAACCCACACTCAAATGCTTTCCCTCTACAACTGCTGTTTCAAGCACTTTTACTTATCTGCAGATTTCCTTGTAAATTAGAGAGAAAGTAAAGGCATTTACCCTTGGAATACAACTATATGCAGCAATAATGTCTTGCTTTCTAGGTATAATTTTAAACAGAAGATGTAAGCAAATAAGAACCATAAAACCCAATGACTGAAAACCTGAAATTTAGACGCTAATGATTCTATTTAGTATTCATAAAGAGCTACTTAGGAGTTTGCCTGCTGTATCCCGTGTGAGTACTATTGACACTTCCATGCTTCATGATTCAAATGCATAGTAATGTTTAGTCAAACATGGCTCTCACTCCAAGTTAGCAAAACTCTTGACACATACAACTTTCAAATAAATTCAGCGGGGACTGTACACCTCTCCTTCTCACAGCACAGAGGTTGATATGAGACAGTAATGAATCACATTATACTGGTTCACATTTTCATGTGGTTAGGAGGAGAAACAAACCCTTATTCCAGTGATTTTGCAAATTCTGCATAGTCAATGTATCCATCACTGTTCTTGTCATCATCTCTCAAGACATCATCTATTAGACTAATCAGCTCTTCTTCCTTCATTGCTTGGGTATGCTCACCACCTTCCTACAAAAACAAAACCACAGTGAACAGTTCAGCAGTCTTCCACATCTACTGGCACATGTGACAGATCACTGACAACTAATTTTTTACTAAGCTGTTCATATTTGGTGCCTAATTTGGCACTAAATTTTATGTAATAATTTATAACAATATAAACAAATTTCATCAGGTGGAAGTTTTGAAGTCAAAGTTCTTTGGACTTCAGAACAAGCATTCTGCAATCAACATTCTTGGTCAGAAGTTCCAAAAGCTGAATACCACAATGTATAATGATGGACAACCATCTAATAAATGTATTCTTAATTAGAGTCTTGATGTAGTATAGACACTGTAGTTTATATACACTACAGAAACACTTTGCAGTAACACAGAACTGAAAAAATTCAGCATTGTAGCTTAAAGTCAGTAAAATTCTTACTAACACCCCCTATGGGAACACAAAGGGGTGCCTTTGCACATGAAACAGCCAGTCATGATTCTGCTCTTGGCCCTGTATTTTTTGCCACGGGTTATTAGCAGGAAGTTGTGCTATTCTGAATTGTAACTTCCAGAAGATCAATATGAGATAATGTGTTTGTTTTGTGTTCCTAATGACTAGAAAGAAAAATTGAGTTTAGGAAGAGGCAAACCATAACAGGCTCATCTAATACAAATTTTCTGCAAGACGTTTTTTATAGTTTATGTATACACAGCAGTATCAGTCTGAAGTTGAAAACAGTGTCATATCACATGATATTTCTACAAATTCTCATGCTCCACTTTGGATGAGTTCCCTTTCTCCTCATCCCCACCTGCCAAAGTAAGCCCTCTGTAAAATTATTTTCACTCTGGAGCCCTTCCTGATTCTAGAGTTAAAACTAAACTGGAAACTTCCTAAAAATTGCAATGTGACATGAAAAACTGTGATAATGTACATTTGTAAATTCAACCAGAACTATCAGGAGAAAAATAATCTTATTTTCAGGCAAAACTGTAACTGCACTGAAGATGTGTTGCAACTGTTGTGCTGCTTTTAGAGTCAGAACTGTTTCCAAGCACATCTGCCCTTACAAAACTACACCAACCAACCTCTTTGTGGACATGTGAGATAGCAGTAGCAAGTTCTAACCCATCTAGCAAATTATTGCCATCATAATCATGCATTTTGAAGTAATGGAGCTGCAACTCTTGGGGAGACATCTCAGATTCTGGTTTCTCAATAACACCTTCCAAGTGTTCCATGATGTGTCTAAGAAAAACAAAACCCACAACATTTCCATCAGTTGATATTTAATGCTCTGCTTATAGCAAATTTAGTCCTTGATCAAATATTTTACATCTAAAAGCACCCTGGACAACTAAAAGCTACAGTTTGATACCAAGATAAAGGGGGCACAAAGGTTGTTTGTTGGAGGGACTGCAGAGGCCTCTAAGACCTTAGACAGCTATTTCTATTTCTTCTGGCCTACTTAGAAGGCTATAAAAACAACTGAAGCAGAGCCCAAAGTCTCTTTTTGGCTGTCTTCCAAAGCACAGGAACTGGAGGAAGCTCTTTCCCAGTCAACCATTAAGTGCTCTAGGGAGTTTTATTTGCTGCTAGAACTGTTCTGCATTTATAAAGAAGCAAATGAGAAAATAAACTCTACCTGTTAGGAGTATGACTTTGTCTAAAGTATGCTGATGTGGGTAAGCATGATTTCTGTAAGAAATTTTTTAAAGCATAAGTAGAAGGGTCTCAAGAGACACCCTCATATCTCTACAAATTTATCAAGCAAGCATGTCTCATATTTGGCTTTAGCTAATCATACAACATTCTGAGAAAACAGGGTGCCCTAGGCTTAAGTGCAACTTGCGTAACAGTTTAGAGATAAAAAATTCATTAAGAAGTAAAGTTTACACTTTTAGAACATGGAACACATACTCTTTATCTTGTACCAAATTCTTATCAAGGCGAATATTTGAATGTTGACTCTCTCCTACATGTTCCTCAGCTAGGACAGAGATGAAGAATGCAGTCATAGAAAAGCAGAATAGCAAATGTGTTCTGAACATCCTTTGGGCCATTGCAATCTCCTACAAAAAGGAAAATATCCCCCCCCCCAAAAAAAAAAACAGATGAAAAATGCAATCTACTTTCAGCAAATTTAGACACTACTTAGAAACAGCCCCATTAAATTTCAGAATAGAAGAACTCGATGCAATGGAAACTCTTGGCAAGCAAAGAATAAGAGAACTCAAATTAAGAGTTTTTATGAGAGTCCCAGTAATTTCCAGATAATGTCTTTTTTTGATGCACACACCTTAGCCATGCTTGGGTTTTCATATACTTTCCAGATAAAAAAGCAAGCATGCCCTCTGCCTCAGGCAAACCTTACCCCACAGCTAAGGGAGCAAAGGTCGCTTACGGCATCTAAGCGGCTCCATCTAATTAGTGGCTCTATTAAGACTGAATTGCCTAGAGGGCCGCACAGCCGTGAAGACGTCATGCAACCACGCATGTACGCAATTCACGGGCAGGTGACACAGCAGAGAGCTTCAGAGGGGCCGAGCGCGCTACCGAGAGCAGCCAAAGCGTGGACTGGCGGCTTCCGCTCCCGTTCTTCTCCCACCCCAGCTGAAGCTATCCCCGGTTCCATCGGCATGTCGCTGGCCACCAGCCAGGCTCCCAAGCCCAGCTTAGGGATCCCTGAGGAAGCGCCAATGCAGCGGGATGGGGCTGGGCCCACTGCCCCCCCCTCCTAGGCCTGAGCATCCCCGCTCCAGTACCGGCTGTCGGGGCGGGCGGAGAGGCCCCGCCGCCGCCGCCGCCGCCAGATTACATACCCTCGGCCGGGTTTCCGGTGTGCCACGGGCTCCGGACTGGACGCAGGCTGAACACCATTCCCGGGATCACCCCTGACCCGGCGCTGCCCCGCCCGCTCCACCGCCCATTGGCCACTCCGCTCGGCCCCGCCCCGCCTCGCGAGTAACGTCACCGCTCCTGGAGCTCCACGTGGAGCCCTCGCGGCGGCGCAGGTGCGGCGAGGCCACGCCCATCGCGTCGCGGGGCCGGGCGCGCGCATTCAGGTGTACGTGGGGGCTGCGGGCTCGGGTAGGTGACAAGCTGTGCATGAGCCAGCAGTGTCCTGTGGCCAAGGAGGCCAGGGCTGTCCTGGGCTGCATTAGGAAGAGCATTGCCAGCAGGTTGAGGGAGGTGATCCTGCTCCTCTACTCAGCCCTGGTGTGGCCACATCTGGAGTGTGTCCAGTTCTGGTCTCCTCAGTACAAAAGAGACATGGAGCTCCTGAGTGGGTCCAGTGGAGGGTAACCAAGATGATTAAGGGACTGGAACATCTCTTACCAGGAAAGGCTGGAGGAGTTCAGCCTCGAGAAGAGAACTGAGAGGGAACCTTATAAATGTATACAAGCATAGATATATGTGTATACATATATGTGTGTGTGTGTGTGTATGTATGTATATGTATATGTGTGTATATATACAGTGTACACAAGGGAGGTGCCAAGAGGATGGAGCCAGGCTCTACTCAGTGGTGCTGAGCAAAAGAAGAGACAATAGGCAGAAACTGATACACAGAAAATTTTACCTGAACATGACCAAGAACTTCTTTGCTTTGTGGGTGACTGAGCACAGGTACAGATTGTCCAGAGACATCTTGTGGAGTCTCCATCAATAAGGATATTCCAAGAACTGCCTGGATGCAATCCTGTGCCATGTGCTCTAGGATGACCCTGCTTGAGCAGGGGAGCTTGGACCAGATAGATGACCCACTTGCAACCTGGCCCATTCTGGGCACTGTGGGGTCTTGACAATCCTGGCCTTTGCTGCAGATAATTCTCTCCCAGAGGATGCATTGGAGGGATCCCACTGGTGATACCCTAGGCAGAACCTAGGACTGCAGTGGTGGAGCTGGTGGCAGTGAGGCCCATTCCTAGGGCAGTCCCCAGCTGCTCTGGTTGCTTCCCTCTCACCCCATTCACGAAGAACTGCCATAGTTCCTGCCCTGCTCCTCGAGTGGGAATTGCTGTAGCCTCTCCTCAGTGCCCACTGCAATTTATGTGTCTTCTGTGCTTCCCCTCACACCACACGCCACAGATCTCACTGCTTCCATATTCGACACCTACACAACCACTGCTTTGGCCTCTCGAGGTCAACCCTCGAGCAAACCTCGGCCCCGGGGAGCTGGGGATGGCTTTTGGCCCGTTCCTCACGCACCGCCTGGGTGTCTCGTGTCGAAGTTGCTGCTGGAGGGGGGCGGTGGCCGTGGGGATCAACATGCAGAGAGCCCTGGGGTGACTTCAGATGGCGGCGGTGGGGGAACAGCATTTCCGGCCTGTCACGCCTAGGCAGGGAGCGAGAGGCCACACCCGCGGTGCCGGGACAGCGGCCGCGGTGCGGAATGCGGCTCCGTGCCCGGGCGTCAGGCGAGAGGCGTCAGAGAGTGGCCACCACAGCGGATGCGATGTTCCTGGCCGCAGCCCTCGGGCAGGGCGTGCCGGCCGTCCCCGCCCCTCGGCACCTGGCGGATCCACGGCCCCGGCGGCAGATCCCGGGAGGCGCCGCCGGGGACTCCCCACGGGCTGGGGCGGGGCGGGTCCGTCCCTGCGCTAAGATGGCGGCGAAGGGCTCACACTCGCACGTGAAGCTAGAGGCGGAGATCGAGCGGTGCCGGGCCGAGGGGTACTGGGGGCGACTCCGCCACCTCGCACAGCAGCTGCTGCCGCCGCGGTCCCCGCGCAAGGCGAAGGCGGTGAGGGGTGCGCAGGACGCAGGTAAGCGGCGGCGGCGGGCGTGGCGGCCGCCAGTACTGACCCACCTGGGCTTGGGGCGGCGGTGGGGCCAGCTGCTCGCTCCCTGCCGCCGCTCGGTCTCGGCAGCCCCGCGCCGGTGGGGTGGCATGGGCGGGAGCTGCGGCCGCCCCGGCTCCCGCGCGCGGGCTGGGCAGCGCCCGCTTGCGGGGCGTCGTCTGCAGTCCCGTGCCTGCGTCCCGGCCCCGCAGCAGGAGGGATAGAGGGATGCCTGTGAGAGGCGGATGGAGCCCAGGAAGCTGCGCTCGGGAAGATCGCGCTGCGCTTCCTCTTCGTGTCATTCCTGCCAAGCCCGCCGGGCAGCGAGGGGTGGCTGCCGAGCATTCGGGATGCCGCCCCCGCCGCGGTCAGCGCCGGGGCGCAGGTGGCGGCTGCCCGGCTCCGAGCCCGTCCTGGGTGTAGCCAGCCCGTTTGGGCTGCGGCCGGACCGGCCCCGTTTGGAAAGGTCTCTTAAAGCCTCTCGATGCGTGTCATGTTGCTTCCTTCTTGCCCCCTGCTCAGCGCTATTCCTGGGTGGGTGCCCTTGTCTTACCTCTCTCCATTTCCGAGGGGCACTGCTTTACTTAAAAGCTTTAACATGTGAAGCAGGTTTCATAAATAATAAATATAGTAGCATTTTTTTTTTCCCCGTTACAACACACTGATTTACTGGTGGGTTTTTTTTTTTGTTGTTGTTTTTTGTTTTTGTTTTTGTTTTTTTTTAATGGAGTCTTTTGTAACAAGCGAGGCAGCATAACTCAGTCTGAGGTCGGCAAGTTGTGAACGGGACCTGATCCTACCCACGGTAGTGGTACAAAGGATTCTGCCACTGAAGTCAGAGGAGCTACTTCTGGGAATTAACCCCCTTCTTTAGGGGAGTGTTTCCAGAATATGTCCCTTGCATTGAATCCTTCTGGCATGCCTTAAACTTCATAATGGGAACCGTGATGGGGGAGATGTTGGTAATTTATTACATGTTTATTTTTCAGGCTTTCCAAGTGTTTACATCAAACCCTGTGCTGAGAATCATTGGGCCAACCTTTGAGCTTTAGTCAGGTTTCAGCTGTGTTTTCCCAGGTGCAGAGATCACCATGCACTTTGTGGGCATTAGTAGTTGAAGAGTTCATAGTAGTTTCTTTCCTTGTAATTAAGAGATATAACAACAGTATGATCTCTGTAAAAACATCAGTTATTAATTTGCTGCTATGTCATCATAACTTGCTAGTTACGCAAGAGTAATGCTTTGTTATTGCTACAGAGCTTCTTTCAGCAGGTTTTGTTCTTCTAGAAATGATTGTGTGTTCGCATGGGATTTTTTTAACAGTAGTATTTGCTTTGTGAGGTTCTGTATATTTATTTCTTAGTTGTCTATGATCTTACCTAGTTCCTTAAGTTTGATTTAGAGGTTAATGGCTACCTGAAAGCACTTTAGTGTGTAGAAATTATTGCATGCAAGTTTGGGGGGACAACTTGAATGCTTCTCGTTTTACATACCTGTACTTTGTTTAGTTACAGACCTTGCAACCTGCAATGAACAGGAAGAGCTATGGTTATAATTTGATATGTAGCTGAACACTTAGGCCGCAACAACAAAAAAGTCTAAACCACCACAAAGTTTATTGTTATATGCTGTGTGTGATGTATAGGTAGAAAGTGGGCATAAGGTGTCTCCTGGACTGAAAATACAAAAATAGGTACACTAGTGTGTTTCACTTATTCTCAAATATCAGACTTTGAAACATAGAATATATATGAAATACAGGGCTGGGCTCTTTGGTATTCAAAGATTTCCTTACCTGGCTTGCCCCACTAGTGTGCTGACGGAGGTATTGTTGTTATGAATGAAGGAACTGCAGAAATGGGCCTGTCATGTAAGAATGCCGAGTACTTTGGCAGATGAAACATGTTTTTTCAGCATGATTGCCACATTGCATGATGCTTCCTGCTGTATCCATTGCTGCTACATGTGTTTGAATGTCTCTTCTGTGGAACTGTGAACAGGGATGGATTTTAATGTGGAAAGAGTTTTATGTGGTATGTTAATTACAGCAGAGGATCAGTCCTTCTGTGTCTTCAGTAACTGACGTGTAGAATGTGTGTAATTTATGCTTTTAATTTTTTTTCTGTATACTTTTGGGAAAATTGTAAAAGTTTTTGATGCAATTACTGCTGTCTCTTCTCTGTAGTCTAAAGCATTCATTTCATGCTTCTACCTTTGTAAATAAAAACCATCCACTGAAGTGTTTGCAAAGTTTGGTCTTACACTTTTGAAAGTGAGTTTTGTGAGGAAAATTATTAACTGTAATTACTAACAATTAGTGACAATGTAAGAAGGAATGGTGCTGCCAAAATTAAAGGATTAAGGAGGGAAAATCTTCAAATTACAACAGAGCGTTGTTTCATTTTTCCATACAAAACATACTGTTTCCACTAGATAGAAGTTAATGGAGCTTTTTTTTTGTCTGAGTTCTTCCTTATCCCCTCATGAGTTGTCTCAAAGGTGTGTTATGTTTTTGTAATTCTGTTTATCATCAGTATGGCAGTAAGCAATATTTCTTATTGTTTGGTGTGTGCTTTCAGAGGACCATGGGAGTTTGTTGCTTGCAGAAGCTCTGCTGGAGGAATGTTTGAAGGAAAACTTTGCCAAACTGAAGGACTCAATTCCACTGTCAGAGAAGAGTGAGCCCAAACTGAGTGAAGCTAAACAGTATCTGACCAGTATCTTAAGCAGAGGGAAACTAAGAGTAAGTGGGCTCTATTTTCATAATTCCTGCCAACTGGATACTTTTTTCATATGTGTTAGTCTGATACAGGGTGTGGGTGTTGCCTGTTTATGTCCATGGCTGTACAGTGCTGTATTGTAGGTGATACTAAGAGACTGGTAATTCCCCTAGGCAAGATTTTATGTTGTGAGACTTGCTTTTTCATATGCAAAGAAATTTTGTGCTACAAGGACAAAAAAAAAAAAGAATCCTGTTTCTTTTTTCTTAACTGCAAAGAAACAGGATAAGTACTTAGAATTTCTCATAGGTAGTGAGGTGTAGCCACATAAGGATGCCGTCAGGCCAGCACAGCAGAGTGATCTACTGCTGCTCCAGATCTGAGGGAATTGTGCACAACTGGTTAGTCCCTGATTGGAGAAAAATGTGCCAAAAGCTGCTGTCAGGAACTTAGGGTTGTGCTGGGAGGACTACAGCTTTGCACTGCCTTTGGTATCTATTAGACAAGTAATGCTTTTATTTTGTTTTGTGATCTGGATGTGTGGCTGGTAGCTGCTTGTCAACTCAGCTGCGGAGCTTCAGGAGGATTTTAATACTCTCCTTTGATGGCATACTGCTGTGTTGGTGTCCTTTGACACACAGTTGGATAACTGTTTAGATGTAAATGAATTACAATATTCATAGACTTTTTATTACTTTTGGTCCTGAAATTGCCAGGCTAGTTTAGTTAGCTTGGAAATGTATATTATACTTTCACCATGTTAATTTCCAATGAGCAAGGTCAGTCTATTTAGAGCATAAAATGGAGGGAGTAAGGAAGGGGAGTCTGTCCAACCCTGTTTCTTTATAGTTCAGCCCCATTAACAGTCAGAGCTACTGAATTCTTCCAGTTCCTTGTGTTTAGTTTGGCTGCATGAATTGCTATTACTGTTTCTCTGCTAGTGGTCACTTAGCTACTATTGCTGTGTTGATTGCGTGTATTAAAAAAAAATGGGTATGAAGGCTTAGGAACCTTTTCATGCATTCCCAAGGGTCTGAACAAATGTGTTTTACTGAAGTTCTGTTACATTTGTTTTCAATCCTTAAATAAAACGAATCTTAGAAATAGCAGGTGTGCCTTCTTCCATTTTATCACTTGTGTATGAAAATTCTTTGACAACTAAAGAAAACTTGGGTGTTTTCTCACTCTTTTATTAAATATATAGAGGAGAGGAGAGTGCTTGTCTAAAAAGTGATGTTTACTGTCTAGTTTAAAAGCAGGGATTTTTCTTAGTTTGTGTGTAGGTAATTCTGATAATGCCAGCCATTTATGTGCTCTTTGTGGCTGGTGAATCAATAGAGCAGGTGACCTGAGACCAAAAAGTTGGGTTACAAACTGTATTTAAAAACTGAGCTCCAAAGTGGTTGGCTGACCTTCATTGCTTACTGCTCTCATGAGCTTAGCCCTTGTAGTTGTGAGAGGAAAGCATTCTAAGGCTGCCTGATTTGCTGTGGAGTACTTCAAGTCTTCCTGTCTGGTATTTCCCCCTGTAAACACTTTTTCTCTCCCTGCTCCATTTCAGCCGAAGTATATGACAGAAGCTATGCTGATCCTAGGAAAGCTTCATTATGTGGAGGGATGCTACAGAGATGCCATCAGCATGTATGCAAAAGCAGGGATTGATGACCTTTCAACCAAAGATGAACCTCTGTATGTGCTGCGTTTGGTAACTGAAGCCTTTGTTGTTAAAGGTAAAGGACCATGTGTGTATATTTGAAGTACGCTGGTTTTAGGTTGAAGCTGTTTCTCCAAATGCTTTGGTTGGAGCAGGATTAGGGCAAAAATGTATGCTGTTGAAAATCTTAGATGGTATGGTCTGTGTAGTTTCAAACTTAAAGGCATTATGGAGTCTTAGTTCATGGTTTTTAAACTTGGCTGGCTTATAAAGAAAAGCCTGAAATTGGAACTCTTGTGATCACTCTAGGCTGTAAGTCAGTGACATACTTGAGCTTGTGTGTCCATTTTGGGAAAATCTAAATCAAGCCTTTGGCTGAATTGGGGCCTATGCTTTCTCTTAGAAAGAGTTCATCTACTTGTACATTTCAGTGATTTCTGTGAATTAAACAATTACATTGTCTTGTCTCCAAGTTTTAAACTTTGAACTAACAGAATATGTGCTTTCTAAGCAGGTAGTATTTTTTGCACTGCATGTCACACAGTATCAGACCTTATGTACAAACAGGAATCTCTCCTCCCCCTTGTAACTCTACAGACATTGTGCTGTTCCAGAGAGTCTAATTAAAATTACCTCTGTAGTGAAATTACATTTCCTTTTTGAGTGGGGGAAAGGAAGACTTTTGTCAGTTTTTGACTTGGGAGGAGAAAATGATCAGTAATCTTCTCCTTCATTTGCTTTCGGTTTCTTTATAAATGTTTCTCAAGTACTGCTACCTATCTACTGCTTTCTACTCTTTTCAGCATGTCCACCAGCTAATTAGGTGAATGAGAACTCTGATGATCAGATACCTTCAACTGGTATGTAAAAGAGTGATACCAAATCGACCCAAAATACTGTTTGACTGGGCTGCTAGTATTACTGATAATAATATGAATCATTCTGCTTTTTTTGAAACCTTGTTTGTGCTGCTTTGCTTGCTTTAATTTTTGTTTCCTATGGTACTGATCAACTCTGCTTCATTAGTGAGCTTTTGTGGAGCAGGATTAATTTACTTGTACTTCACACTGACACTTCCATGGTGCAGTGGAGTGAGTAATTGCCAGTGCATTCTCAGCAGTGTATTTGAGAGCAACTCCTGGTGCACTCCAGAGTCCGCACTGTCCTTATTGGGAAGCAGATACAACCCTTGGTGAGGTGTGGGTGTAACGATATAATGTGTGTGTGGAAACTGATGAAATAACCCTGTTGTTATAAGACCCCTTGTGTTGTGCTGACTACCTAACTTAAACATGAAGATGTTGGAGGTGTTTACCCCAGTGTCAGGCAATTCCTTTGGTTTCTTTCCCTCTGTGGTTTAGCATGGAATGTAAATATCGTGTTACCTCTGTAAACCTGTCTCTGCCATTGCAGAGAAGCCTCTGTGCTGTCATGGTTCCACAGTCTTTATCCTGCATGATGATTATTTTCATATTAGCTAAGATATCAAGAGTATTCAGTATTCTACCAAAGTTACTGGCAGAAAAAAGTCCAGCAGAGTGGAGCTTGTCTAGCTGAGTTTGAAGAGGGCACTCACTGCTGCCATGACTGTTCCCTTATGCCGTGTTCCCTCAGCCTCCCACTCTTATGTTAGCACTTTGTGCAGGTAGCTATGACAATAGCAGTGTAGATTTAAATTTTAATTTTAAAACGTGTGTCCAGGCTGCTTCTGCAGGGCAAGTAACAATATGGAGGTGAATTACTTAAAATTCATTGATACTGTATGCCATAGATCTTTCTCAGTCCCCTTTTTAATTTGGTGTCTTTCTAGAAATTATGTTGATCCATATTATATTACTACCTTTGGTTGAACTATTGGTTGTTTATGCAATCTGAAACCTTCTTTAAAGATGCTCTTGAATGTTGCTGGGAGTAAAATTTTTACAGGAGCCACTTAGGCAAATGTCCAGAAAAGCCACAGTCCTATCTATTTCAAGACAGAAGTTAGGTTCCCCACTTAATTTCTTGTTCACATTTTCAGAAATGGGAGAAAGCTATTGATTTAATAGAATATCCCTGTTCATCCAACATTAGTTAAAGCAGCAGAACTTTGTAGCACCTCATAGTGTGAATTTGGAACTACCTCAGTTTCGTGTAGGTAATTCTGGTGAATTATGCCTATATGCAAAATGGCTGCATGGGTTCTCAAGCACTCAGGATTAGGCTAAAAAGGTCATGGAAGAAAGAACAGTCTAATAAAAGGCTTATTTTTTTAATGTTGACACCTACCCTTTTAATGTTGGAAATGAACAAAAACGTAACAAGAAAGATGTGGGATTCAGTGGGAGGAGTTGCACAAATAAAACCAATTGTAGAAATCCAGCAAAAACGAGTTTCCTTCCTTAGAGCACCTTTTAACCTCTGCAACACTGAACTAAATCTCTGAAGTTTTTCTCTGGAAGTCCACAGCATGTACTAGGTTCCTATTACAGTAAGAGGCAGTATGGATTTACACCCTTAAGTTTGTATTGAAGAAGTTGAGCAGGGAAAAAATTTCTTGCTTGCCTTTTCAGTAAACTTCCACATAAGGTGAGTATCAAGAAGTAAACATTGAAGTTCTGTATCAATGGGAGGGCTTGTGCAATTGACAAGTTCAGGAGAAATGACAGAGAGAGCAAGATTCTTCAGTGTCTGGTTGGACTGCTGCTTCCTGTTCTGTTTCTAAATCCCTGCATTGTGAGGAGACAAGTTTTGTGGGTGCTGTGAGTGGAGCTCTGACAACAGTTTGATTTTTCATTATGACTAATTTTAACCTCCATGGTTAGTTAATAGGTGGTTTGTTTATACTTGTCTCCTTCCTCCCCATTCTCCATGAAGTCAATCCCTCCTTAAAATTTTACCTCTGCTCAGTTCACATTACTGCTGGTAATCTCTAATGCAAGCAACTCTGTGTTGCATAAAACAGTATAGAGTAAGCAAACTTTGCTTCTAATTAAATTAGGACACACTGTGGCTTTGTTACCTGACGGTGTCCATTTAAAACAGGAAGCAAAAAAGACTTCAGAACAAAATGTGTAGCTGTCAGAGCACACTGGTTTCCCTCTGTGCTTGCTCCAGAAACTGCAGATATCTCTCTCTCTCCAAAAGGAATAAATCTTCCTGGTAGTAGGTTGGGCTACTACACTACCTAACCTTTACAAAACACTGTGTAGCTCTAGACAGGGCTTCAGCATACTTATGCTCCAAGAAAGAGTCTTCTATGATGTGGCAATGTTTGCTGTGCTGCTGAGAGCAGAACAAGAGCTCCCTTTAACTGAGGCAGGCTGTTGCCGGCCTTGGTAATGGTGAGTCAGGCAGGGCTCATGTGTCGTGTGGGCTCTGTCTTTATAATGACTGAGAGGGGCTTTATCATGTGGTCAGGGATATGTCAGAGCTGCTGCAAGGTGAGTCAGCCCTGTGCTGAGGGGTTCCCTGTGTCTGTCAGGCCAGGCACTGGACTTCTCTACCTGGAGTGGGGTAGCCTGGAGATAGCTACCTATCTATATTTGTGCAGCAATGCCATAGGATTGCACATGGTATCTAGTTTCTAAATGGATTTCTAGAGAGTTAAAGCTTTAAAAGTCCCACTGCCTATTTTTCTCTTTTTCTCCCAGTCCATCCTGTAATTTTTGTAATTTAGTCACTTTTCTGTTATTATTGGCCATTTGGCAACTTGGGGGACATTTAATTTGTGCAGCTTCAGCCTGAACTCTCTGTAGAGTCAGAAGCTGGCTGTTGTGGGATGATTCATCTCTTCAAATGGCATCTGACACTGTTGATGTGAATGGTGTTGTACAATACAGCCTCTTCTTGGGTGACTCTGAGAGAAGACTGTGGACTAAGTTGAGATTTATCCCTTGTGATTTTGTTTCTAAGTGGTTTTGTTCTTTAGTGTTTGGGGTTTTTTAACTCTGGAAAATATATCAATTTTATCAAAGGGCTGCGGTGTGAGAAGAGAACAAGGTGATAATGTCTGTAAGAAGCTTTGATCGTAGTCTGCATTTTATTGTAATAAATCCAACCACAAGTCATATGTATGAGGAAATGAGGCTGTGTTAGTGCAGTGGTACAGAGCTTTCTATATTTAGTTCTTGGACCCATTTTAGTAATTTAAAGATGCTTAAGGTCTGTGGTGTGATGCTTTTGACAAACCAAAGATAAAATCTTGAGACAAACATTGCTGGATTGAGCCACTGATATTTAGACTTCTTGTAAGAGCTGTGAGTGATATTTCTGAAAGCAAAACCTTGAAACTATCCATGCGAGGGTTTTTCCTGTGTATGATAATGATAAACAGCCCGGAACCTGCTTCCAGTGTCCTGGGTTCAGCATATCTTGTTTTGGATTATTTTGTGTTTGTTCGGTCTTAGAAAAAATTACTGAGCTTACGTGTGTTCCTGTTTCTCTTGAGGTTGTATGTTTTAAAAATTCAGTGGTAATGAGGTTTATGTGCTTGTAATTATATTGTTTTGCTTTCTGCCCATGTGAAATTATTGTCTTGGGCTTCTAATACTGGAAGTGGTTATTTGGAGATTCTGGTGGTGCTCTGAGAGGAGAATGGTGATATCACGCACAGATAAACAGAAAACCTGACCTTTTATTCAGCTGGTTTAAAAACTATTTGCTTGGTTTTAATCATTGTTGTAAATTGACCAAGTGAAGCCTCAAAATTTGAATAAACTCTTAAACTTCTTAGTGATTGTTCTGCTTAATTAGTTTCTTGTTTTGCATTTTTCTTGTCTTGCACTACTGTTCAAAACAGTGGAAACTGATGAATGAGAACTCTGCATACAGATTTGCATACAGTAAATACAAGCTTGGTATTAAAGTTGTTCATTCTAGCTAATCAGAGGATATATCATGCACTTGTTCATATACTTAATTGGCGTCTTTAATTTTGATGTTTGCTTCTGTTATCCTTTTTTTCCTAATATGGTTTTCTACATGATGAGTAATTTCCTAGGTGAGATTTGTATTCGGTTGCTTTTGTTTGAAAATTAGAATAAAATGTAGAGTTAAAGACAGTTTTATTGCAAAGCTGTGTTCTGATAAATCTAC